AAAAGAATTCTGCACTCTAATGATCTCCCCTGAGGATAATCAGTCTTAAATGGGAGACTTAAGCGCTGATATATAGAAATTCTCAGGTATAATTTTCATTTTAGGAACACTGGAATTCCATATTTCCAGTGACATGTCAAATATGTACTATAGCTCTTTTTTATTTACTCATGGGACTTGGCTGTTGCTAGCTGGACCAGCACTGATTGCCCGTCCCTAGTTGCCCTCAAGAAGGTGGTAGCAAGCTGCCTGTTTCAAGCACTACAGTCAATGTTGATATTGTAACATTCACTTTACATTTCTTAGTAGTGGATTCAGCTGCATCTTAAAGCTCTAATTTAAAGGTCGGTTTACTGGTTCACTTTTAAAAATGAACCATGAAGAACAAAGAGCAGCAAATGTCTGACAAGGCTGGTCCCACCCTCCTGTTTACTGTAAATTGACCAAAATGATACAGGTAGATGCTCTGGGCTCATCAGAATCACAAACTGATAAATGCATTCAAGCCACCAAAGAGAACATTGATCACTGGCTATATCACTAAACCACACTTGTCAGGAGCAGCATTTGTAGTAGGTTTGATCAGTCTCAGATCGTGCCAAAGCATTTTACACCTATAAATTTCTGTGGAGTAGTCATGTATGGAATCAAAATTAAAATTTCTCACAGCAGTGGCTTCAGAGAAATTAAATTAGATGAAATAATTGAAAAGAGATTTAATTAAATCATTAAAGCAGGTATATTTGATATGATACTAGTAGAATACCTTCTTTGAATAGTGCCATGGGATCTTTAACGCCTACCTAAAACTGGCAGACAGTCCTCTGTTTAATCATAGAACAGCCATAGTCCACAAAGCACAATAGGCATTCTTCGCAATGAGAGATAATTGGTTAAATATGGCTTGAGTGCAACCATTGCATAAGCATGGGGCAAAGTAAGGTGGCAGTGCCAAAACGGTACAGAGTTGAACTCACGCTGTTGGCTTTATTCTGCACCACATCCTAGGCATCTAGCCGGCTGAGCTAAATGACCCAATTGTTTAACAATCATGTCACCAAAACTGTAGCATTGTTTCAATACTGCATTTACTGTCAACCTAGTCTATGTATTCATGTCCTGCAGGCTCTCTTAAACCAAGAAGCTTGAAACTCAGAGCTAAGATTTGTCAACCTTTAAACTAAGCTAGACTGGGCCAAACCTGACTTGATAAGACAGAGGGAAGGCTAGAGATCAAATTCAACCAAAGACAAAAGCATAGAGTTTTACAGTTTCTATGCCTAACCTTGCTACGATGAACAATAAACACTAAACAAGTTGCATCTTTTAATTAACAGTGACTGAATTTAAAGGAATTTCCTTGGCTGACATTAAAGAAAAATTCAAAAGATTCTAAAATGACCAATTAGCAATGTAACTCTATAGAAAATCTACTACAGTGCAGTGCACTCATTGAGACACCGGTAATGCATTAGTCAATCTAAATGCAAAGAAGATTGTCAAATCCAAGCCTGTTTACAAAAACGCAAGATGTACATGTCATTCAAGTGTCAGCAGATTAAAATAAAATCAGAGTTAGCAGTATCCAGCCCGCATTTAATCTGGATAGATACCATGCAGACAACAGCTCACTGAGATTGGAATAGAAAGCAAAGCATAATTCCTCCGTACAATTCCAATATTTGGCGCACAGACTAAATTAATTCTGGGAAATTAACTATTTCGGTTCGATGCTAACATTTCAAAAGACAACTTTCTAACTTTCACTGGGCAAAAACACACTCAATGAAACTTAATTCTACAAATCCAATGTGACGGGTGCTTAAGTATTGGCCAAGTTAAAATCAGTCAAATCAAAGATATAAACCTACAAATCACAAGCAGAAGAGTACCATAACAAAACAAAATTGAAGTTAAATATTTCCAATACCTGCTTAGATTGAATTTGTTGAGTTTTTCAGATACTTCCCGTAATCTGCAAAGATATAAGCTTAGTTAAGTGTTGCATTGGTAAAATATATTTGCCATCCTACTCCAAAAAGAAAGTATCATTTATAGTAAGTTACAAACTAATAAAATATTGCATGTTTTTTAATCATAAAAATATTGTAAAGCACTTAATTTGCCTTGTACTTTTGAAGGTGGATCCACATAATTACGTCACAAAATCATTTCACAACAGTGTTCAGTGAATTGTTGGTTTTAAAATTTATCCACTGTTGAAAACAAAGTTTAACGTTGAATAAATAGGTGCTATTTAAAATAAATCAGCAACATACAAAGTGCATATATCTTTATGCCAGGACTCTCCGGGAACAAGAGTACTTAGTCACTTACCTTTACAATTGTCATTTAAACTCTGGTGCAGACTGTCAGTAGTGAGATGAGGCTACAAGCCAAACCATTGGAACTCTTTCTAACTTTCATCAGCCTACAAGCTGCAAAGAAGGCTGTTCCAGATTTGATACAATACATTGTTTCAGCCATCTTGTGGCACAGTGGTAGTGACCCTATCCCTGGATCAGGAGATCAGGGTTCAAATCCCACCTGCTCTGGAAGTGTATAACAACATCTCTGAACAGGTTAATTAGGAAAAACAGGTACAATACATTGTTTGACCCTCATCATTTCCCCTCAAAAATGACAAGTTTACATATATTTTGTAGCTGGCATATAATGCCAGTGTGAGCATACTGCAACATTCCACATCTTACACCTTACTAAGAATTATCCACCCCATCTCTCTGCTTCTCAGCCCATGTATAACTAGTCATTGGAGATGAGGAAAGACATTTAATACACCGCTGCCTCCCAAATCCATTCCCATCTTCCTCATAACTTGCCTTGAACCACCCCAATCTGAATTCATTAACACTGGCTGTCTCTGCATTCTCATATTTCTGTTGCCCCCAGTGTCTAACACATTCCCAACCACCCCCAAAAAGAACTAGTTGAAACCAACATTACCACTTTTATGTTCATCTCAGTAGTGCCAATTTACTTGTCTGACTACCCTTCCGTAAAGTGCCATGGCCTGTTACTACAGTGCATTAACATACAAGTCTAATGAAAAACACCCATTTCAAAATTGTCATTTCCAAAACTGAAAGCTATAACTGGATCTATACTGAATCTCGTGCAAGTAATGAGTTCAAGCACAGTTTGGAAGCATTTCACAAATAAGCTGTCAATGAAAACAAGTTGCGTACAGTGAACAGCTAACACTTAAGCATAAGTACATGGTTGAAAAATTCTTCATTAACTACTCCACATTGTGATTCTTGGACTGCACATTCTCTTCAATGCTGTTGCCAATAGGTACATAACTTGCACCATTAATACTCTACTTCTAAGCCTCCACAGTCACTTGGCCAAGAACAAACAAGATTTGCTGAAAGACAACACAAGTCCCGACTGCACAAAATCTGCGAAGTATCCCTGTTTCAGCCTGGACTCAAATGAAAAGATCAACATTGTAGTTAACAATCCCATGTGAATCATTCATGCAATCTATTCCTCAATTGGTGTATATCAAGTTAAAATTAATAATTCAATGTTTTGCAATTAGAAATATGGCACAGTTGAATTTTTATTCTTACTGGCCAGATGATAGCTGGAATATTGTGAACAGTTCCAGGCCATGATCTAAAGCAAGTTATTGGAAGCTGTCCAGAAAGGTTCTCTAGGCTGATAGCAGGTACGGAGGAATTGTCTGCCAGGAGAGGTTGAGTAGATTGGGCCTGTATATAGTGGAATTTAGAAGAATGACAGACAACCTCATTGAAAAATATAAAGGTTCATTTCAGTATATTTAAGACCGAGATAGATTCCCCTACCTGACTAAAAATCTAGGATTATGAGGAAAAGGCAAGAAAGTGGAGATGAGGATTATCAGATCAGCAGTGATCTCACCGAATGCAAAGCAGACTCGGATTTTCTGAAGAAGGGTCTAGGCCCGAAACGTCAGCCTTCCTGCTCCTCTGATGCTGCTTGGCTTGCTGTATTCATCCAGCTCTGCACTTTGTTATCTCAGATTCTCCAGCATCTGCAGTTCCTGCTATCTCGGACTGAATGGTCTACTTTTACTCCTACATTTTGTGGTAAAATTATGCTTTCTCAGCATTTCAAAAGGGAAACAAATTAAAATTGGAAACTGGTGATGTGCTAATTGGACAAAAAGTACATTATAGCAGGCAACCCATGCGATCAAAGACAAATTACTGCATAAACACCCAAAATAACAAACATTCTTTATCATTCTAAATGATTTTATCATGAGACCAAATTTGCATTCTCTTTGCTGATAATTTAACATAGTAAAACTTGCTTGCATTACGTACTGAAGCAAGCAAACAAATTCCATTCCACCGCCACCCCCCAACCCCCACACCACCGCCTCAAGAAAAGAGAATTCTCACTAGGATCATCTG